ACTTACACATGCTGTTCCTCCTGCACAGATGCCTTTCCTTCCCTGTCTCTGCCAACCCAAACCCTACCAGGTCCACCAGGCCTGCGTGATACAGCCGAAATAGCAATTTGCAATTCAAAAAGACCTGCATTTAAATCCTGACTCTGCCACCTTCTGGCGGTTTGACCCAGACAAGTGATTCTCCTCTCTGGGTCTCTGTTTCCTTGTTTATAAGATGAAGAGTTGATTAACAGCTCCTATGTAGGGCTGTGGTGTGAATTTAATGAGGGAAGGTCACAAAGAACATCATGCAGACATGCAAGTCAATGAACTTGAAAGCATAAATGAAATGGACACATTCCTAGACAAATATAACACTAAAAGTGTCTTGAAAAAATATAAAGCTTGAATAGCGCTTTATTCCTTTAAATAAATTGAATTAAAAGTTTTAAATGTTTCCATAAAGAAAACAAAAGAAAAGGATTCTTTTGGTTTCACAGATGAATTCCACCCAACTTTCAGGGAGTTGGAGCCAATGACTCCAATCTTCTGTGATAAAGAAAAAAGAGACAAGATGGTGCATTTTATAAGACGGGTAGAATCTGGATACCAGAAACCAGACAAAGATAACACAAAAAAGAAAAATTACAGGCCAATGCCACTGGGGAATACAGCTTTAGAATCTTGAACTATATTATAATTATACTAAATCCAATAATTCATAAAAAAATATTATGCATCAGACCAAGTTGAATTTACCCCAGGAACGGAAGATTATTTTAACATTAGAAAATCTATCAACACAATATTGCAAAGCAATTATCCTCCAATTAAAAATAAATAATTTTTTTAAAAGGGAAAAAAGGAAAATCTAAAACTGTCACTCACCTCACTAACAAACTGAAGGAAGAAAAATGACATTATGAGTAGCATCTAAAGAGTCAAACAAATAGACAAATATAACAATACAGAAATAGACTCACAGTCATGGAGAACAAACTAGGGTTTACCAGAGGGGAAAGGGGTGGGAAGGAAGAAGGGCAAAATAGATGAAGAGGATTTAGAGGTACAAATTACAGTTATAAATTTTAAAAGCCACAGGGATATAATATACAGCACAGAGAATATAGTCAATAATATTGTAATAACTTTCCATGGTGTATAAATCTGCAAAAATATCAAATCACTATATTATACACCTGAAACTAACAATACTGTAAGCCAACTATGCTTCAGTAAAAAAAAAGAAAGTTTATCAAGGTGTATGGATATAAGACCAATATCTATTCACACAAAAATCAACTGCATTTCTCTATATGACCAATACTTAGAAATACAATATTCTAAAAATGTACCCCATGTATGCTGGGAAAACTGGACATCCATATGCAAAAGAATGAAATTGGACCCTTATCTAACATCATACACAAAAATTAACTCAGAAAGGACTACAGACCTAAATGTAAGACCTAAACATAGGGCAAAAGCTTCATGACATCAGATTTGGCAAGAATTTCTGGGCTATGACACCAAAGGCATAAGCAACAAAAGGAAAAAACAGACAACATGGACATCAAAGTGTAAACATTTGTTCATCAAAAGATACTCATTTAACTGACCTTCTATTTTAACATGGGTCTAATTTATTTGCTGTTTCATTTTCTATAAAAATCAGTTGATTTAAGAGTTCATTCCTCATACTGTGCATCAAAATAAAAGTTTGAACAATTAAAAAAAAAAAGATACTAATCGCAGCGTAAAAAGGCAACCCACAGAATGAGATAAAAATGTTTGTAAATCATTTATCTGATAAGGATTAATATCCAGAATAAATATAGAACTTCTAAAACTCAACAGCAAAAGGACAAACAGCCCAGTTCAAAAATTTTCCAAATAAAGTACACAAACAGCCAATAAACACACGAAAGGATGCTCTACATCACATCACTCCAGCATTAGGGAAAAGAAAATCGAAACTCTGAGATACTATCTCACATCCAGGAGGATGGCTGCTATAAAACTTTTTTTTCTTTAACATAAAACAAATACTGGCAAGGATTGGGGAAAACTGGAACCCCTGTGCACTACGAGGGGGGAATGCAAAATGGTGCAGGCACGGTGGAAAACAGTATGACAGGCCCTCAAAAAATTAAAAAGAGAACTACTATATGATCCAGCAATTCTATTGCTGGATATATACCCAAAAGCACTGAAAGCAGGACCCAGAGAGATACCGGTATACATCCATGTTCACAGTGGGCTTCCCTGCTGGCTCTGACAGCAAAGAATCTGCCTAAAGTGCAGGAGACCTGGGTTCCATCCCTGGGTTGGGAAGATCTCCTAGAGAAGGAAATGGCAACCCACTCCAGTATTCTTGCCTGGAGCATTATTCACAATAGCTAAAACTTGGAAACCACCCAAGTGTCTATCAACAGGCAAATGGGTCAGAAAAGTAAGCATATACATACAATAGAATATTATTCAGCCTTAAAAAAAAACGCAATTCTGGAAGTTCCTTGGCAGCCCAGTGGTTAGGACTCTGAGCTTCCACTGCAAGAGACACAGGTGTGACCCCTGGCCAGGGAATTAAGATCCCTCATGCCACGCGGTGCAGCCAAAAACTAAAAGTTAAAAAAATTAATTTTTTCAAAAAGCAATTTTTTAAAAGCCAGTTCTAAAAGATGCTATGACATGGATGAACTCTGAGGACATTACGCTAAGTGAAATAAGCTAGTCCCTAAAGACAAGTACTGCATGACTCCACTTATATGAGACAGAGTAATCAAAGTCATAGAAAGTAGAATGGTGGTGGCCAGGAACTGAGAAGAGAGGGAACAGGGAGTTTAATGGATGCCGAGTTTCAGTTTTACAAAGTGAAAACCAATCCTTAGATTCAATGCAAATTCTGCCAACAAAGTTTTCCAGGGAATTTGAAGAGATGATTCTAAAATTTGTAAGAAAAAGAACGAGGGCAAATACAGCCAAGACACCCTTGGTGAAGAACAAGGTTGGGAGGGCTTGATGTTTCAGATATCAAGACCTAGATACCTATGGTAATTAGCTAGTTTGGTATTGACACAAGAATCACCAAACTGGCCTATGATAAAGAACAGGGAGCCAAAACATAACCCATATAAATATATGGAAATGTGATATACGATACGGGGTGGCTGTGCAAATCAGTGGTGAAAATGTGAACTATAATACCTGATGCTGGGACAGTTGGTTTTCCCTATAGAAAAAAAAAAAAAACAACTTGTATCACATACAAAAATCAACTACAAATGGATAAAGATGTAAAAGTGAAATGCAAAATATTAAAAGTTTTAGAAAAAAGTAAAAAATGTCTTACGACCTTGCATACAGAAGAATTCATTAAACAAACACAAAAATAGAAATCAAAAAGGAAAAGACTGATGAACTTGACTAAATCGACACAAAAATCTGTTCATCCAAAGGCACTATAAATAACCAATGAAGATGAGCCACAAATTGGGAGAAGATATTTGCAATTCATAAGAGACAAATGAGTCTCATCCTAAATATATAAAGAACTCCTAAAAACCACTAAGAAAGCAACAGAAAACCAAACAGAAAATTAGGTAAAAGACATGAACAGGCATTTTACGGAAGAAGAAACCTGAATGGCCGATGATGATTTGCAAATATGTTCAACTTCATTAGTAATCAGAGAAATGCAAATTAAGACTATAGAGAATTGCCATCTTTATACAAACTAGTTTGGCAAAAGTGAAGAAGCCTGGCAAGTTTTGATCTCGATGTGGAGTGACGGAAACTCTTACACCCTGCTGCTAGGAATGAACACAGGCAAAGACGCTTTGGAAAACAATTTGGCCCTGTCTCAGAAAGCAGAACAAGCACATACTTTATAATCCAGCATCTCTCATTTCCAGAAGCTGCTGTGCAGGTGCATCTAGAGATTCATTTAAGAACGTTCACAGCAGCCTCCTTTGTAATAACAAGAAAACTAGGAACAAATCAAATGCCCGTGGACGGCCGGATGGAGAAATAAATTGTGATATATTCACACAATGGAAAACTATACATCAGAGAAAATAAATTAACTATAGCAAAACATCCACCTGGGTGAACGTTGGAAACATGGTGCTGAGCTGAAAAATAGAGAGCAATTTCATTTTTATCAAGCTCAGAAATGAGCGAAATTATAGACTGCACTGTTTGGGGACACATGCACACATGGCAAAAATTACTCCCCAAAAGCCAAGAGAGTTATAAACATAAATTTCAAAGGAATATTTACATCTAAGAGGGAGGTAGGGGCTATGAGAGACGCATTCAGATGACTTTCAAAGTCACCAGGGGGCTTCACCAGTGTTTATTGGATTATTATGACTTCATGATTTTCATAAGTATTCTATTTCCTTTTGTACAAATCAACACTAAGTTGAATCAGAAGATGTGTGATGAAGCGATTGATGACAAGTTCCTAGCACATACAGCTGACTCACTCTCCTCTCCCTGTGGGCTAGCCATAGCACTAAATGATGTATACACATGCTCATTTAGTCTCCCAGCAGCACCACCAGCAAAGATCATCTTCATCCACATTTTATACATGAGGAAGCAGACAACCAGAGAGGGTAAGCCACTTGCCTGAGGTCACACAGCTCAGGGGACCGGAGATGCAAACCGAAGTCTAACTCCAGAGCACTCACTTCCTTCCACACGGCAGGAAGGAGATGGCTCTGACCCCGCAGCAGCGCTCCCTCCCCTGAGTCCCCAGAACACTTCTCACAATTAACATGGGAACTCACACTCCTTATAGATGAATCTGCGTCTAAGACCTAAAAGCTCCTCCAGTGCAAAGATAACACAGGTGCCTTCTCTGTATCCCCAGGGCCCGTGCTGGTACCCAGCAGGATGCTTAGTCCTGTTGGTTCGGGGTGTTACAGAATCCGCTGATGGGGGACTCTGTGCTGTTGGCTCACGAGTCTGGGGCAGGAGCGCCTGGGGGCCACGAGGAAGGGGCAGGCACTCACCCCGGGGGCTGTAGCCGTGGGCGTCCATGAAGGAGAGGCCCAGCCGCTCGTCCTCCTGCAGGGTGCTCTGGTCCGTGAAGCTCCGGTCCACGGCGCTCATCATGTGGGTCTTCTCCTGGCGGTAGTTGACGGTGGCCTTGGTCATGTTCACTGGCTTCCTGCAAAGGAGGGTTGATGGCAGACATGGGTGCTCAGCTGGATAGGACAGCACCCAGAGGTGGATGGGGAGACCCAGCAGTCAGGGGCCCTGAGGCCAGGAGCCAGTCTAGAAGCATCTTTGGATGCTGAAGGGAATCTGGCCCCATCCGTTGCTCACCAGACCCGGAAAGTTGCCTCTTCACCCAAAAGGGACTGGGTGGGGTCCCTGATGCTGAGAAAGATTAAAGGCAGAAGGAGAAGAGGGCTACAGAGGATGAAATGGTTGCATGGCATCACCAATTCAACGGACATTAGTTTGAGCAAACCCTGGGAGATGGCGAGGGACAGGGAGACCTGGCATGCTGCAGTCCATGGGGTTGCAAAGAATCAGACACAACTTGGGGACTGAACAACAAGGGTCCCTATCCTGTGGACCTTTGCTGAGAGCAAGGGATGGAGCAGCAGTGGCCTCAGGCTGGGATCAGCCTCCTAACTCTCACTGGGCCTGAGGACTTAGGAAATGGGGAAGACAGTCACTCTAGGCCTGATTTTGGTATCACAACAATCACCGCATCCACCACTAGGAAGATGACTGCCCAGCTCCAGCCCCTGCAGGCCCAACGCGTCGTAACCTTCCTTCCTCTGGCCTCACCAGGCATCTGCCCTGGGACCTCTCCCTCCTGCATGGGAAAGCACTGCAATTCGCCTTCAGGCAGAGGGTCTGGATAGAGCTCAGCCAGTCTCAGGGTCCAGTGTCCAGCTGGCATGGAATAAATTCCAATCACGACTTTTTCTTACCCCCAGGATCCCCAGGATGGTCTTCCCACAGGCCACACTAGACTTAAGTAATCCACACAGCATCCATATTCCTGTCGCTGCCCACCAGCCCATCTAGCCGCCGGAAGCAGCAGAGGGAAAAGGCCCAGTCCCTCCCGAGAGGGGGAGCTTCTGGAGAGGCCCCTGGGCAGAGACCCCTGCACAGCCCATGTCTCCAGTCCAGTTTTAGATGTGGATGGTAGTTTGCAACCCTAGGGAACTCGGAGGACAGTGGGAGGGAGAACGGGGGTGGGGAGGCAGGGATCAAGGCTCCCTGTCCGAGGGGCTGAAACACAGAGAAAGGGAAAGGACGTGGGAACGGCACTGAGACTGGAGGAACACCGGGGCCCGATCACAGGGAAGGCTCGAGGCTAGAGAGCCGTTCACCTGCCCAGCCCTACAGCATGCAGGATGCAGGGCAGACCTGAGAGGGGACTTCCAGGTCATGCGGGCCCACGGACACTGGTCATCGTGGAGAGGAAGAGGCCAGTGTAGGACTCCCCCAGAGAGACAGACAAACTCCACTCAGCCCATCCTGGCTCCAGAGCTGCTGGGGGCAGGGGGAGGGACAGGATGACCTCTGGAGGCCCCTCCTGCCAGGACAACAATGTGCTTCCTGTGGGAAACACAGGAAGGAGGGCGCTGTATCTGTGCTGGGGACCAGTGTGGTTATGCACTGCGGTGGGTGTGACTTTCCCAATCTGAGAGACGGCTCAGTGGGCCCAAGCCTCCCACCCACCCTTCAGGCTCTGGATATCTCCCTCACTGTGGCCCAGGGCACAGCCAAAGAACCCTTGGGGGCAGATGAGAAGTCTCTGTGGCTGTGACCTTGACTATCAACATAGGACAGAAGGTGGAGGAGGAAGGGAGGTGAAGAGGGAGACGGGAGTGGGATAAGAGAATTAGGACACAAAGAAGGGAGAGGAGAGGAATAAAGGAATAATGACAAGGAGAGAGATGGGGAAGGAGACGGGTGGGGGGGACAGGTCAGAACCAGCGACCACAGGGATGACAGACAGAGGGCCTCGGACAGAGGACAGCCCATCAGGCTGGACGGACCATGGTGCCCCAGGAGGACCCGTCCCGAGGGGATCCTGGCCCAGGAGGCAGTCTGCAGTGGTGACCACAGGGCTCTGTCCCCGCCCAGGCCTCCTGCTCTACTTGGCAGAAGAACTTCACACACCAACCAGCCAGATCCGCAGACAGGGCCAGGAGGAACACCTTGCATTGTGGCCTCCAGCTGACCTCAGGGCAAGATTAAGCAGATGCTGTGTGATATGGACACTCGGAAAAGTTCAACATTTAGATTCAAAATTAGTTGCTCTGTGACAACCTAGAGGGGTGGGATGGGGTGGGAGATGGGGACATATGTATACCTATGGCTGATTCATGCTGATGATGCAGAAAGCAACTCAATACTGTAAAGGAATTATCCTCCAATTTAAAAAAACTTTTTTTAAGAATATGGAAAGAATATATATGTGTGTGTAACTGAATCACTTTGCTGTACAGCAGATATTAACACAACATTGTAAATCAACTACACTTCAATAAAGTCATTTTTTAAAAAAAAAACAGCTGCAGAGTGGAGGGAGCAGGCGAGCTGCCTTGTCAGGAGCTCCAGGAAAAGCTGAGCTGGAGATTCCAGTGAGTTGACGGGGGTGTGGTTGCTGGAAAAGCCAGTGTGACAGTGGGTGATGTCGATGGAAGAAGGGGTGAGAGACCACCATCCTCTGGGCTGGCCCGGGGCCACCTGAACCTGCTCTTCAAGGAGGGTACAAACATAGGTGCAGAGGAATGTTCTGGAAGGCTTGCAGGGTCAGAGATCCAGAGGCAGAAAACTGAGCGGCATCAGCAGGCCATGGAGTTAGAGGGGTGCCCGGACTGTAAGCCCAACTCTGCATGTCCTGTGACCTCTGACAAGACCTTAACCTCCCTGAGCCTCAGTTTCCTGATCAGTGAAATGGGGCAATCACATGGCCTCTTCTCGGGGTTGTTGGGTAGATTCTGTGTGAAGAACTGAGCCCATGGGAGGCGCCCAGGGACCGGTGGGTCTGAGGTGCCGGGCCCAGCTGGAGAAGAGCTGGCGGCTCCAGGGAGCCGCGTGCACTTGGGGAGAGCTGCGGTGTGCCTGCCCCCCAACACACACATGCGCACACAAGCTGTGGACCCAGAACCGGACCCGGGCGAGGACCTTCCTAGACGTGGACTGAGGTCTGATGTCGGGAGGTCCCGAGAAGCAGGAGTGGCTTGAGACACAAGGGGCTGCCTCGGGGTCAAAAGGACAGGAGGCTCCGGGAGGTCCAGTGACTTGTCTGGGGCGGCTCAGAGAGCCAGGTCTGAACCCGAGACTCAGCACAGAGCCAGCGCTCGTGGCCGCCACACAGGAGGCCGGCGGCGAGGGGACAGCCAGCAGCGGAGGGAAGCTCGGAGACGGGTGGACAAGGGGCTGAGCCCAGGCAGGGCGGAGGTAGGGGCGGGGCTCCCCAGGAGGGGCGGGGCCCCGGGCAGGGGCGCTACTTACGGGTAGTAGGAGTAGGCATAGTGGTTTCTCCTGGCAGCGTGCAAAGAGAACACACGGGTGGGCCACGGTTCGTGCACGAGGCGGGGCCCAGGGCAGCACCACCAGGGGAGGGGCCTGGTGCTTCCTCTGCTGGGGACCGGGCTGGCCGTGGACTGACAGGTCAGACGGGCTTTCTCTGACCCAAGGCCTGGCCCGGCTCCTTCCAGAACCTTCCCCAAGCCCACTGCCGAGTGAGAAGGAGGTGGGGAAAGGGCCTGGAGGGAAGCAGAGCTTTCACACACATGTGTTCACAAAGAGAAATACTCACACATGCAGACACACTCACGGATACACACACTCACATAGAAACACATGGACACACTCATGCACTTACAAGCACAGACCTATGACATACATGCAGACACTCAGACACATGTACTCAATCACACACTGACACACACAGATACATACACAGACGTATATTCACAAACACACACTCACATAGAAACACATGGACTCACTCATGTGCTTACAAGCACAGACCTATTACATACATGCACTCAGACACATGTACTCACACACACACACTGACACACACAGATACACACACAGACATATTCACAAACACACACACAGATGCCTGCACTCACACGCTCGCGGTAACTGTGCACTCACCCTTGCAGACCACCCCACCGCAGTCCCCATGCCACCCCCCTGACCCCCCGCAGGCTCCCCGGCCCCTGAGGGGACAGCCCTCTGCAAGCTGGGAAGAAATGAGGGGCCAGGAAGGGGAGGGGGCTGGACGCCAGGACCAGCTGGGCCACTCTCACCCACCCAGACTGCCCCTGGGTGTGGGTTTTCCATTAAAGGAGCTGCGTGGCCCCTCACGAGCACCCAGAGCCCAGGTGGGCCAAGAGCCATGACGGGACCTCGAGGCACCAGCAGTGGGGTCATGGGGCAGGTCTGATCCCCACCTCCCCAGTGGGGAACCGGGTCCTGGAGAGTCATGTCAGCCCGTGGCTCTCGGGGGGTCAGTGAGAGTCCAGACCCTGATCCCGGAGCCAGCCTCTCCTGAGGCCCCATCCAGGCCCGCTCATCCACTCACCTGCCCCGAGGGGAAGGGAAGACAGAGGCAGCCAGGGCGGGACCCTGGCTTGAGGTCACACAGCCTGTCTCCGTCCCAGGGACAGAGGAGGGGTCAAAGGCCCTGAGCTGGTCATAGTGGCCCTGAGGGCAGGGAGATGGGCTGAAGGAGTGGCATTCTTCTGGTCTCAGCTGAACTGTCATAACTTCAAAAGGGCCGATCCTAAGGACTCCCCCACAGTCACCAACTACATTAGTTCCCCCTTTACTCTGTGTCTACCCCTTCACCCTGGTCTTTTCACAATTTGTAATTATGCATTTGTGCTTTTTTTAGTTAATGCCAGGCTCCCCACCCATAGCCATAAAGCACAAGAGGACAGCATCCTGGTTGCTTCTGCCCACTGCTGGATCCCCAGGGCCCTGGACAGTGCCCAGGGAATATGTATTCCCTCAACACAGATTTTATTGAACTGAGTAATCAATAAATGGAGAAAAATAACTAAAAGAACTCCACCTCTATGAGTTTCCATTTTCTCCTCTAAACAAGTGAGGTTAAAAATAATCCCCTCCCCGACAGCAAGCATGCACCCAGCCCTGCCCTGCCCCCTCTGCTTGCTGGGTGGGGGCGCGGGTTCGGGAGGACCCGAGTCATCCATAAGTCATACACAGAGGACCCGGGGGACACACAGGCAACGAGACAGAACTTCCTCTGCCCTCATGCAGCTCTCAGTCCAGCAGAGAAGAGAAACACTGAGAAAAGCCCGCGAGTGTGTGAGTGAAGTGCAGGGTGGGGTGGGCAGGGCAGGGGAAGTGCCACAAAGGGAAGTGGGGAGGGTCGCTGGAAGCAGAACCAAAGGATCCAAACAGCCTGGGGCACCCCGGAGTTCCCAGGGGCAGGTGCATCCCAACCTCACTCTCCGGGGGCAGGATAAAGAAGCTGAGACCCGTTCCCTGCCACCTCCTCCCCACCCCAGGTGCCTCCTTCCTCCAATAGGGTGCATGAGTCCACGGCGGCTCCCTGGGGGCTGCCCATTTCATCCACACCCCAGGTTGATCTGAACACCCCCATCCCTGCCAGAGCTGCTCTGCCCCATGGCACCCGTGGTGCAGACTGAGGGAGCCCTCGGGAGCACAGTGATCCTGGAAGGCCAGGTGGGACTCGGGGGAAAGCAGCAAGGGGCTACAGAAGGACTGAAAGGCTTTTAGAGGATCTAAGAAGGAACAGGGCGGGGGCAGGTGGCTACGGGGAAAGGATCCTAGAGGCTTCCAGTAGCAGCTGCATGAAGTGGAGAGTTTCCTAGCGAGGGAGACCCTGGCAGCATCTCTGACCCATCCATCCTCTCCCGGGCCTGGCACTCTCTTTGCTGGGGGGATGCCCTTCCTGACTTTGCTAGTCTTCCCTCAAGAGTAGATCTGGAGAGACTCAAATACCACCCGCAAGCCCCCAAATCTGACCCCTCCCTTACAGCCCTCTATCTGTGCCACTCCCCACCCCCCAGGGCCTCACCCCTACAGGAACCTACTGTGTGCCAGCCATGGTGAGGCCCTTCACATGCCCGGCTGTAAGGAGAATGAGCTTTGCAGTCAAGCCTGGGTCCAGTCAGGACCTGCTGCTTAAAGTGACATGGGCGAGTCACTTAATAATAGTTTCCCGACCTGTGAAAAGGAACTTAGATCTGCTTTGTGGGTCAGGAACCACCCCCACAGGAAGGAAAAATTCCCTGATGTCTCCCGAGTGCAGGAACAGCGCCTGATACACAGTAGGTGATCAGTAACTATGGTTCTAATGGGTGATGTGTGGCGAGCTCTTGGCACAGTGTAATACTCATTAAATGATAGTTTAAACGATTTTGCCTCAGGAAGCTTCACAGGGAACAATCAGAGCCTGATGCCCTGAACAGACCATCCCAGCACCCCACTGCTGGCATGCCCGACCCCGAGACTCTCGGGGAGAGTCTCATTCCTGCTGGTGCCTGGCCTCAGGCACGGGGGGCCTGCCCAGTTCTCCCTCATCTCCCTGGATCCTGCTTATCTGCTCCTGACAGCCCAGAGACCCAGAGCCAACCCACCCACGTGTGCCCAGGTTGGCAGCAGCAAGAGCTACAGAAGCCAGAGCCCAGGAGGGAAGAGGGTGGAGCAGGCTCTGCCTCTGGCTCCCGAGTGACCTTGGGCAGGTCTCTGCCCCCTCTGGGCCTCAGCATCTCCATCCCTCAACTAAGGGGCTTGGACCACAGTGTCCTGGGGCTGCCTGGTAGGGAATGAGGTGGGGCGGGGAGGGAGAGCACTTGGGTCTCAGAAGCCCACTGAGCTCCAAACCGAGACTCAGTCTTTAGTGCTCCATGTACTGGGCTCCCAGGAGGGGTTTATCTGGTGTTTTTGAAGATAGGTTCTGCTGCTTTTGGAAGACAGGAGAACCACTAGGTTAGACATCCTTGAACTACAATGGCAGCTCTCAGTTTCCAGGCTCTGAGCCTCCACAGTTCTAAACTTGGAGACTCTCAGAATCTCACATCCTGGATTTCTAAAATTCCAAAACTGTTTTAAGTTCTAGGTTCTAACTAAGGTAGGCTGGGATTCACTCCACCCACTGTGAAATGTACCCGAAAGTGCCTCCCACACAAACACCAGGCTGGACCTTTGAGGCCTGGGAGATGGCAAGGGCAGGAAGGGAGGTCTCCTCTGAGTCATAGGCCCAGGAGGATGCCTCAGGGATCAACAGTAACAGAGTCCAGGGCAAGCTGAGCCCAAGCAAAGATGGAGCCTGGGAAGAGCTGCTGCTCAGGGCCCTGGGTGTGAAGGGGGGTGAGCCCTGCCCCCCCACTGCTCAGGGTCAACACGCCAACCCCCTGGTTAGGGCAGACGCGACAGCAGAAGATCTCGTGCACTGAGGATGCCAAGTCAGGTTGCCTCCCCACCATCCCCATCAGAACAGCCCAGCGGGCACAGGCGGGTGGGGCCCACTCCCAGCATGGTTCCTTGGCAGTGGGCACTGAGCGCCCTTCCCTGGACAGGGGCACCTGGCACCGGCCAGACCTGGACTCCAGCCAAGCCACTCCGGGGCAGCTCAATCTGCAGAGTCTCGGGCTTCCCCTCACCAGCTTGGGTTGATCCACAGGCCTGATGCCCAGGTTGGCAGCCCTCCACACGCCCTCCAGGCGGCTGCCCGACCAGCCCTCTGCCTCCTCTCTGCTCAGCAGGCCTCACACAGGCCGAAGGCCCGGGTGGGACAGGGCACTGGCCTCACTCACCCCTTTCGGATGATAATAATAATGGCCCCCAGCAGGAGGATGAGGACAGCAAGGCCCCCCGCACAGATGCCCAGGATGAGTCCCATCTCCTCCGACCTCTGGGACACCTCCAAGGGCTGTTTGCTTTCCTTGCAGGCGGCTGGGGAGAACAACACAGGACAGAGGATCAGAGGGGATGCAGGGACCACCTTCCCCCTGCTTGCAAAGGTCCAAACTCTGGGAGTTGGTGATGGACAGGGAAGCCTGGCGTGCTGCAGTCCATGGGGGTCGCAAAGAGTCAGACACGACTGAGCGACTGAACTGAAGCCCCAAGGAATAAACCAGGCTGCACAAACAGGTGCACAAAAACATCTGCCCGTCATCCTCAGCACATGTCCCGCCTTTCAGTCAATCAGACCCATCTCTCACCATCCCTTCCACCTTCCGCATCCTCCAGTCAGAGGCCTTACGTGCCCTGTACCCCTATCTGGAATAGCTCCTCATCAGAACAGCGCAGCAGGCACAGGAGGGTGGTGTCCACTGCGATGCCCTCTCTCCTGCCTCAAGTCCTCCCTACCCTTCAGTGGATGGATGGGGGATGGAGGCTGTGTGTGGGGCCTTCAGATCCAGCCCCCCCCGCCCTCCTGGGAGGCAACAAGGGGGGAGAATTATGTATCGAGGGCTCCATTAGGGCATCTCAGGACTGGGAACCACCCACATTCCCCATCTGGGAGCAGCGTCAATCCCGACACTACAGGGTCCATGCTGTCCCCCTTCTCCTTCCCACAGGAAAGGGGGCAGATACGGACTCCAGGACCAGGGTCCCGTACCCACCACCCAATTCCCGACCCCAGTGGCTCACCCTCTGCCATAGTGGTGTGAGGGTGTGTGTCCCTACTGCCCAGGCTGGGAGAAGGAACCCTGGAGATGGGGCACATAGGGCCCAAGAAGGGAAATGTTTCTTGGCCCCCCCCAGTCTGCCAGACCTCCCTCCTCTGCCCCCACAGGCCTGAGTGCCCAGCGCCCACCGCCCACCACCCCAGAGCCCAGCAAGTAAGAAACCTGGGGCTGAAGGACTGAATCCAGGGGGACTTACCCTTCCGGGCGAGGCGGATGCAATTCAGCCGGGTCTCCTGGAGGCATAGATGGGGCGGGTCTCAGCACTGCTTTAGCCAGGACCTGACCCTCCCCAGAGGCAAACTTAGACAGGCTGTCTTGGCCCTGATCAGGGGGTTTCTGGTGTGAACTGTAACTAAACACACCCCACCAGCAGAAGGGTGGAGGGGGAACTAGGGACAGAGGGGCCAAGAAGGGGAGGAGCCTACAAATAGGGCGATGCCTTAGGAAAGTGGAATGAAATGGGTGGAAACAGGAAGAAAAGAAAAGAAAAACAGCACAAGGAGCGGGTAAAGAGGAGGTGCTCAGAAATGAGGGTAGAGCTCAGGTCAGGGGTCCGCTTGCCCAGGGGGCACCCTAGAAAGGAGCGATCCGAGGAGGGAGGAGCCTGGAGAAGGGCGGGGCTTCAGGGAGGAGGCAGGTCCTAGGCTTCAAGGTCAGGTGAAGGGGAGAAGCGGAGAGGGGCACCCTCTAGAGCCAGAGGAACCTGAGATGGAAGACCAGGGCCTCAGGAGGCGGCAGGGACCAGACTGGGAGCTTGGATAGCAATGAATCTGGGAAAAGCCCACCAGGCTCCTCCGTCATCTCTGGGATTCTCCAGGCAGGAATACTGGAGTGGGTTGCCATGCCCTTCTCCAGGGGATCTCCCTGACCCAGGAGATCAAACTAAGGTCTGCTACATCGCAGGCAAATCTTTTACTATCCACCAGGGAAGAAGCCCCCCGGAAAGGGTTAGTACTGGAGAGAAGGTGTCTGGGGTTAGGAAGCGGGGCTCAGATGGGTGGGCGGAGGTGGACAGGGCTACAGGAGGCCTGGACTCAACGTAGGGAAGGGGAGGAATACAGCTGGTGGGAGGTGGAGGTTGGAGGATGGGGCCTCCTCCAGCCTCTGTAGCAGCCTGCTCCTGCATGTCCTGAGCCTGCTCGCCCTCGCCCGGACCACCCCCACCACGACCCCTGCCAGCCCCTCACCCCCTTCAGGTGGCTTGCTGCCTGGAAGTAGATGAGATAGGCCTTCCTGGGCTCAAGCGGTGGGTTCCAGAAGCCACGGTAGGTCTGGTTGTCACCCACGGTGAAGGGCATGGCCTCAGGCAGACTGCTGGCCGCCAGTTCGGCCCCGAAGTAGTGCACCAGGCCCCGGGCCAGCGCCGCATCGAAGGTCAGCGGCACCGGGAAGCAGTCCTGGCTGCCAGGCTCCCGCCGGAGTCTCCGCGGCCGCTCCTCCTCCACAATCACCTGGTACACACTGGATATGGGGAGGGGACAGCGCAGTGGTCACGGTGGCCAGAGGACAGGGAGAGCCATCTGGTGACTAAGGGGGCGGGCTTTGGGGTCAGCCCCAGGACAGCGCTCATCTCAGCTGGGCAAGTCACTTTTGCTCCTTGGGCCTCAGTTTTCTCCTCTGTAAAATGGGAGTGATTACAGGCCGGCTCCATAAGATAGAGGTGAGGAAAGAGCAGCCAGTGCCTGGCAGCTGTTATTACTGTAACTAAGACTGAAAGTATGTGGACCCTGCTTGAGCCAACCAAACCCTGAAGCTGCACCCTGATTCCCAGAGCCTGCGAACCTCAAGCCCCAGGCTCCAGCCAGGTTCCCAACTGCTCCCTCTAGGCCTCAATAAATTCGAGTAAGACACAATGCATTCATTCACCCAGAAAGTTTTTACTGAGCTCAGATATGAGTCCTGTGCTGGGCATTTGGGGCTCTGGGCTTCCTGGAACTGGCCTCCAGCGGGGGAGCCAGTCACTGAGCAGGCAAACGAGGTCACACTAAACCTACATCTCGAATACCCTCCCAACCCGGAGGCAGCCCTGGGTCTGCAACTCTGAGCCTGCCATCTCCCAGGCCTGATGGCTGATTTGTGTTCCCTGGTCTCTGTCTCCTGATCCCATCTTGTGTGTTTCTATTTATTTTCATCACTATACTGAATGGCCTTGTGCTGCGAGCTCCTCCAAATCCTCCATGGAACAAAGCCAAGAGTAAATAAATGAATGCTGACAAATTTAAATCTTTCCACTCGCAGCCTCGGTCACGTCTTGGCGTGTGACACCCCATACTGACAATGACAGCCTGCACTCTGGGAAAGTAGAAATGCCTTTTCCTTGCTCTCCAGCTGTATCTTTTGAGCTCCCAAGTTAGGAGGGAATCACCCCAGCACCCTAGGATTTAGGCCAGACAGGTTCATCCCATCATTAGCCAGCCCAGGCCCCTCTCAATCTCCATTTCCCAGGCCGAGGTCAGGCCTCCCCTGACCTCAGGTCCCACTAGGAGATGCTAATAATCATGAACCATGAACAAAAGCACATCTTGATCTGGGACAATCCCCAAAAGGCACAAAGGAAAGGGAGGCTCAGAGAGGTGAAAGGACATGTCCAAGGTCACATAGTCATCAGGCCTCTCCACCTCACATCGTCCATCCCTCGCCCCAACCCAGGCTTGCCTGAGTTGCTGACCAGACCCGCTCAAAGGATCCCCCAAGGGGATAAGGAAAGGAGAAGGTGCTGGGTTTCCCAACTCCTCCCAATTCAGAGGCACCAGGGTCCTAAGCCTCCTGCAAAATGCCAAACTCCCCTGAGCTGTGCAGACTTCTTCCTGCAGCTCTCCTTAGGGTCCGGGAATCAGCCCAAATCAGACTGTGCAATAGCAAATATAGGGAGGCAAAGCAGGAGGAAAAAGTGAAAGCGGGGAGGAGTGAGGAAGTGAGGGAGTGTCAAGAGTACCTGGAAAACCCCCTGCCTTTTGGGGGGATCTCAGTAGGACTCTCTCATGGCCAAATGTAGGCTGTCACCCTCTCCCAGTGCCTAAGCCTTTATGGGAAGGAGAGGGGGAACCAGAGGGCCAGGGAGGCTCTGTGACTTCAAGGAAAGGTACAGGCCGTACAGACAGACCAGGCTTTCAAATCCCAGCGCTATCGCTTACCAGCCGTGTGGCCTCGGGGGCACGTTATTCAGGCTCTCCGAGCCTGCTTCCTGATGCGGAAAATAAGGGTGCTGATACCAACTCCACTGGCTGTCATGAGGATCAAATGACTCATGCAGGTAAAGTCCCTAAGATGACGTCTGGCTGACAGGAAGTGTGTGCACACCTTGCACAAACACACTCACACTCTCTCACATACACATCACACGCACATCAAACACACACACACACACACCATTTTCTCTCCAGCACCTTCTCCCCAACAGAAACAGTCACTGCAGTATCAGCTTTTTCTGCAAAGAAGTAGGGAAGCCAAGCTCTTGGCCACTCCAGAGAGATGACCCCATGTGGCCAGACCTAGCCTTCTAGAAAGCTCATCCATGTGTCTCCCTCGACAGGAACCCCCAAGGGAAAAGCTGGGGAGAAATAAGGCCCCAAGGTGTCACAAGTAGGCCCGCTGGAGAGGTCCGAACAATCTCCTGTTCAAGATCTCATGACAGTCACCACCAGACAGCCCACGGCCTCAGAGGGGAGTGACTGCAGGCCTGCCAGCTGCCCAGGATCACAGAACGTCCTCCTCCCGACATGCTGAACCCTGAGTGGGAGACTGAAGGAAGACAAGGGTGGGCGGGCCTGGGTGGGGGTTCTGGGTCAGAGGACGGGCCTCTCCCTCATCACCCGGACCTCCCGCCTCTCTGTCACACGTGTGCCCACCTGATGGGCGCCCCGCGGCCCTGCGCCGGCCTCAGTAGCACGGTGATGGTGTTCTCAGACTCGCCCAGCGGCGACGGCATGTCAGCATAATCAAAGCTGGGCGCTGCAGGGGGGGACAGGGACGTAAGCCCGGAGCCTGGCCGCTGCACCAGGAAGGCCAGGCCTCCAGGCTCCTTGGCCTCTGCCCTCAGACCGCTTCCCCTTCAGCCTCTGCCTCCAGCCCTCGGATTCCACCGACCAACGCCAGAACCCTCTGAGTTAATCCTCCCTGACTCACCCTCTAAATGGCACATTTATCTCAGCGGGAGTCCTCCATCGCCACCCCCAGGAAGCCCCATCTCTGTGCCCAGGGGACTCTGGGGCTCCCCACAGGGGCCAGGCTAGGTCAGGCAGGGCGCACCTGAGATGTTGGTGGTGATCTCGGTGAGTGCCGCCTGGCCAAAGCCTTTGCCTGTGCGGGCCCGCACCGAGAACAGGTAGGTGGTGCCCGGGTGCAGGTTGGAGAAGACGTGGTAGGTCTCGTTGCGGAGCTTGGAGATGGTACGCCGTGGGCCCGGCACGTTCACCGCCGGGTCTGATGACTCAACACTCTGGTAGCTGATCTAGGGGCAGAATGGCAGGCAGGCAGGCTCGGGGATGGGGAAGTAGCCTCCCACCCATCACGGTTCAGGTGAGCCAGGGAAATGGTTGGGTAAAGGGGAGGCTTGGGAGGACCATGGGTGCCCCTTAGTTCAGGCCTCCGGGCACCTCTGCCTTCTGCCTTCAGGTCCCCCATTACCCACAGGGAATGGACCCCAGCCACAGTTGAAGGAACTCCAATGATCACCTCTGTTCTCCCACCCCACACACTTCCCGCTCCAACCTGTGGGCCCACCTCCCACCAGGGGCCCACCCACCTCATACTGAGTGATGAGGCCATTGGGCTCCTGGGGCTCCTCCCACTTGAGGAAGATCATGTCCTCCAGCGGAGTGAAGGTCAGGGACTCAGCCGCGATACCGCCAGGCACTGCGAAGGAGAGGCGACACGGGGCAGGGAAAAGCAAGCTTTGGAACCAGATACCTGGGTTCAGGTTCCAGCCTTGCCATTTCGTAACTGGGACGCTTGGACCACTCAGCCTCTCTGAGCCTTGGCTTCTTCATCTGTGAAATGGGGATGATAACAACACCTCCTCCACCGGAATTAAATGATGTGATGTACATAAAGCCCCAAGGCAAATACCTATCAGCACTCTCATATGGTTCGGCCTACGTCTGAGCACTCGAAAAGGGCAGCTGGCATTTTCATCACTGTGCAGGAGGCATTTCTCAGAGAAGAATGAATGCTCCTATTTTGTTCCAGCTGAGTGGTTTTCAGAAAATACAGACATTTGCCAGAAAAATGAAAACAATTGCCTTACAGTGGCAGGATTATGGGTGGAGATGTTTTCTTGTCTGAAAATTGCTAATTACACAAACAATATGTTCAATGTAGAAAATCAAAATAAGCATAAAGAAAATTAATGGTACCAACAGTTCCATCACCCAGAGATAAACACTGTCAACATTTCAGCAGAAGACCTTTAAGATTTGGTTTTGTTTTGTTTTTGTTTTAAGGTATCACCTTCACAGCTGGCTCAAGGAATTTCCTCCAGGAAGAGAATGGCCTTCTTTGCTTGGGAAAACACTTTGATAAACGTCTGTGGGGAAGCTGAACTTCTAAGATAGGGGAAAGCGGAAACCAAGATAACAGCTCAAGTGCCTTGTGTTAAAATGAAGTTAACCAGGCAATTCCACTATTTACCCACCAAAGTGTTAAAAGGAAAAAGACAATTCCAAGTGTTGGTGAGGATGCAGAGCAACTGAAATTTTCACATACTGCTAGTGGGAGTGTAATTTGACACAACCACTTGGGAAAATTGGATATATCTCCTTATTATGAACACAAACCCTAGTGGTTCTACTCCTAGGCTTAAATCCATCAAAAATGTATAGATCTACCAAAAAAAAAAAAGAACCTACAAGAATTTTATTTGCAGCACAATTTAAAATAGTTGCTGCCACTAAGTTGCTTCAGTCATGTCCAACCCTGTGTGACCCCACAGACAGCAGCCCACCAGGCTCCTCTGTCCCTGGGATTCTCCAGGCAAGAACACTCAAGTGGGTTGACTTTCCTTCTCCAGTGTAAAACAGTTGAAAGCAACCCAAATGCCTAACAATAGTAAATTGGATGAATAAATATTCACATAACGGATTATTCAGCAATGAGAATAAATTCTCTAGAACTGTACACACAACTTGGCTGAATCTCTCAAGCATAAAGCTGAGACAGAGAAGCCAGTCATAAAAAGAATATACACTGATCCAGAAAAGGTAAAACCACCACTACAGACCTATCGGAAGGACTAAACTCCCAATGCTGACAACACCTCCTACTGGAGAGAATTCTGAGCCCCTGGAGCGCTCTGATGTTGCTGTTGTTCGGTCACTCAGCCGTGTCTGACTCTTTGCGACCCCATGGACTGCAGCACGCCAGGCTTCCCTGTCTTTCACAGATGGGGGTGCAAATGTATGGCCACTTTGGAAATCAGTTTGGCAATCTCTTGTCAAGTTCAACATACACTTACACACAACACAACACTCCCACTCAAAGGTATTTTCCCAAGTAAACAAAAACTTAGTCCATTTGAACCAGCATGCCAATGTTCATAGCAGCTTCATTTGTTTTTTTGTTTTTTGAATGTATAATGTTTTAATTTAGTCTGGGTAGAACCACAAGGGTTGCTACGTGAACATATCATGGTTTAGGTTATTATATATAACAGGTGTCCTGAAAACAGGGGTAGTTTTATCCTCCAAGTTACAGAGTTTCTAAAACGGCTTTCTTTTTTTGAAATTAATTTTTGTTGGACTATAGTTGCTTTACAATGTTGTATTAGTTTGTACTGTATAGCAAAGTGAATCAGCTATATGTATTAAAAAAAAAAGAATATACACTATATGATTCCACTGATATAATGTTCAAAACCAAGCAGAAGTTAGCCTATGGCATTACAGGTCAGGATAACGATTACCTTTGGGAGCTGTGAGTGGGAGGGTGCATAAAGGGGACTTCCGGGCTGCTGGTAATGCTTTTTCTTGATCTGGGTGTGGGTTATCCTGATGGGCGCAGTCTAGGAGAATGCCAAGTTGAGCTGACCACTTAAGCACACTCCGTAAGTATTATACTAATACTTAAGTGAAAAGTATAAAATATTAAATAATTAATATTAAAGAGAGGCAGGAGAAGAAGGACAGAGAAAAAAGAAAAAACAAGGAGCCAAGTGAGGCCTGGCCAGGGTGGGGGGTGAAGCAGCCTCAACAACGTACCTTGCAGAAGGAAAGGGGAAAGGTCAACAGATTTTAAGAATGGAGCAGTCTGAGAGTCAACATGAGATTACTAGAGAAGGGTAGCAACACATGCTACCCCCAAATAAGGATTATTTTGAGTTGAACTGAGAAGGCAATACAGGAACATACACAAGTAAAAATTCTCTGCCCTCCCCCATTTGCCTAAAAGTAGGACATAAATTTGCACAGGTGCCCCCCTCCCCTCTCTACCAGGTAGGACAGAAGCTAATCACTGAAAAACCTCTGGACCCTTATCAGCCCAGAGGAATCTACCTAACAAACTTTACCAGTCACCATTAGTTTCCCCATACATTTCATTTCCCCTAATTTGCTGCCCCTAGAAGTTTGAAGTCCTTTTCCTTTGTCTTGTCACTTTTCGAAAAATTCATTGTTCTTTAGTTAAGATGCTATAGAAACCCAAGCTCTTACCACCCCTTTGAGTTACTCATCACTGAGTGCTCCCTATTATGTGCAAAGCACGTGTTCATAAACTCCTGTTTCCTATAATGGAAAATCACCTGAATATATATATATATATGTGTACATATATATTCACATATACATTATATAATCTTTAGAAAGATTAATAAAATTTATTTTATTATATATAATAAACTGAATCCCTTTGCTTATGCCTAAAACTAACACAATATTGCAAATTAACCATACTTCAATTTTTAAGAATATATAACAAAAAACAAATAGAATTTATAACAACAATTTTTTAAATATTTTTATCTTATTTTTATCTTCTTAATCTATCTTTGCTCAGTCAACTTACAGGATCCCAGCCAATGAATCTCAGATAGGTAGGAGAAAAAAGTTAAGTTTCTCCTCCCCCCCACATTTACAATGATTTAGGGTAAACCCCTCCAGACTTCATTCCCACCCCAAGCAAATCTTCATCAGTGCAGGGCATAGGGCATACACACTTCCTCAGGTGAGTGGGGTTTTCTAGAAATTGAGGAAGGAGTTGAATTTTATATCTGGGCCACTGCTGTGCAGACAGAAAATGGCACATGTGAGGAAACAAACAAAAAGACTATTAACCAAGGAGCTTAGGGGTACCTGGGGATTTACAGCAATCTGGAGGAAGGCTGTGGACCTGTGCTGAGGTTAGAATGTAGCTGTTAAGAAAAACAGCTCTCAAACAGATGGCCAGGTTTGAGACCCAGCTCTGCTACCCATCCACTGCAATGTGACCTCAAAATGGGAATGGTAAGAGTAAACAGCCAGATAGGGTTGTTCGTGAGGTGCATGGGCATTGACATATAAAAAGCGTTCTGAAATTAATGAATGTTAGCTTGATATAAGTGGAACAGTACACTCAACAATGACAGAATGCACATTTTTTCAAGTAGATATGGAACATTTACTAAAATTTAACCACATATCGCTGGTGGCTCAGCTAGTAAAGATTCCATCTGCAATACAGGAGACCTGGGTTCGATGCCCGAGTTGGGAAGCTTCCCTGGAGAAGGGAACAGCTACCCACTCCACTATTCTGGGCTGGAGAATTCCATGGACTGTATAGTCCATGGGGTCGCAAAGAGTCGGACTGAAAGACTTTCACTCACTCGCAACCATATATCAGACCATAAAGCATGGATCAAATTTCAAAAGACCAAAATTAGAGTATGTACTCTGACTACAGTGTAAGCTAGAAATCAATAACAAAAAGATAATTAGAGAAATCCCAGTCAGAAATCAAACAATGTAATTCTAAATAACTCTTGGGTCAAAGAATGAATCATAACAGAAATCAGAAAATATTTTAAACTGAATGATACTAAAGATAGGATATATCAAAACTTGTGGGGTAAGGCTAAAGCAGGGCTGAGTGAAACTTATAGCTTTAAATGCATATATTAGAAATGAAGAAAGACTCAAAATCAATTATCTAACAAGCTTCCATATCAAAAAACTAAAAGAACAGCTGGTCAAATGCAAAGAAAGCATTTTTTAAAAGAAATAGAACAGAACGTAAGTATACAATAAAAAAATAAATAAACTAGGCCAAAAGTTGGCTTTTTGGAAAGATTAATAAAATTTATATACCCTTACCAAGAACAACCATGAGAAACAAAGACAAGACACAAATTACCAATATCAGGCATGAAAAAGGGGATGGCACAATAGATCCTTCAGACATTCAGTGAATATAACAAGAGAATATTACAGCCAACTTTATGTCAAGATATTTGACAATTTAAGTGAAATGATCAAATCCCTTAAAAAGGCAGTACACCAAAACTGATAAAAAGACTAGAAAGTTTGAATATTCCAATATCGATTTTGAAAATTAAAATTGTTATTAAAAACCCTGCCACAATGAAAACTCCAGGCTGAAATGATTTCCCTGGTAAATGTTCCCAAATATTTTAAGGAACAATTATACCAATTTTACCCAAAGTCTTCCAAGGAATAGATATTAGTATCATTACTCCGTTGTCATACAGTCGGTTTAATCCTAAGCAAAAAATATGCTATAGCAATTTCAGTCTCAGACATGTAGCGTCTGTGGGCACCACGGATCAGGAGGCCTCTTACCATCCTCGTCTGTCTGGAAGGTGACTTCCTTGCCCTCTTTGCGCCCCTCAGGATTAGTGAGGACGAGCCGCACGTGGACGTTCCGGTAGGGCAGTAGGTTCTTGATGGTGTAGCGGCTGACACCCCGCTCCATCTTCACACACTCCCGGACGGTCTGGTTGTGGCTGCTGCCCAGCGTGTAGTGATAGCACAGAGACACGGTATAGGTGTGGCAGCGTGTCACGTTGTAGCCCAGCGGTTCCCACTGCAGGGTCAGTTGGCGGGCCTGGATCTCAGCAAAAGCCAGGCCTTTGGGGGCCCTCATGGGCTCTGGGGATCCCAAAGAGAAAAGGTAGAAGAAGTGGGAGGAGAAGCAGGATGAGAGAGAAAACATCAGGCAGCTGACTTGTATCAATCCTCAATTGCCCCCAAGAGTCCAAGAGACCCCTTAGTGCAGCAAAAAGGGAATAAACTGTGTGTTTTGGAGTCAGGCAGGCCCACATCTGAATCCTGGCTCTGTCACTTGCAGCTGGCAACCACTGGCTAAGTCACTTTATCTCTATGAGCCTTAGTTTCCTCATCTGCAAAATGGGATAATAGGCTCGATCTCATAGGATGGCTGTGAGGTTTAAGGTAAAACATGCAAAGCATGTGTAGCAATGGCTAATACACAATGTGAAAGTGGCTCAGTCGTATCCGACTCTTTGTGACCCATGGACTGTACAGTGCATGGAATTCTCCAGGCCAGAATACTGGAGAGGGTAGCCTTTCCTTTCTCCAGGGGATCTTCCCGACCCAGGGATCTCCTGTATTGCAGGCGGATTCTTTACCAACGAAGCTATCAGGGAAGCCCCAAAACACAGTAGGCCATTGAAAATATTAGCTATAATTTTTTTAATAATATAGTTCACTTCCTATTCCAAATTCCTCCTGAAGGAAGTCAAGACAGTCTGAATCAACCAACTGTTGTATTTTTCTTCATTCTCTGTTAATTCCAAATTTGTTCTAAAACAGCTTACAGTAATATGTACAATATAATAATACAGAGAAGTCAGGATAATGGGGGAAATGAGAGCCAAATAGCTAAATAATTCTAGAGAATGTTACGAAAATAGAAATGCATGCCATTAGGACCCACCTGGAGCTATAAATATAAGGTTCAAATTAGGTGATGAGTTCCCTGGCTGCCAAAGCAAAAAGGAAAATAAAATCTGTTCTATAAAGATGATGATGATGATGGCTGTAAACATTTGTTGGGGGCTTTGTATGTGCCAAGCATTGCTCTAAAGGCTTTAAAATGCTTTATCTCATTTAATCCTCTCTGTGATCTAATAGAAAGCTGCCATTATTAGCCTTGTTATCCAAATGTAGAAATGGAGGCACACAGGAGAGATTAAGTAAACTTGCTGACAGTCACACAGACAGTAAGTAGTTAAGCTGGAATCCAAACCTGGACAGGTCGGCTTCAGAATCCACACTTTTAATCACTGCTACTCTGCCTCCCCATGAGGAATTCACTGTTCAAAAACTAAAAATAAATAAAAATAAACCAGGGAACTTTCTTGATGGTCCAGTGGCTAAGACTCTGCATTCCCAATACAGGTAATCGGGTTCGATCCCTGGTCAGGGAACTAGAACCTCACATGCTGTTACAAAGATCAAAGATCCCACGTGGTGCAACTAAGACCCAGCACAGCCAAATAAATAAAATGTTTTTTAAAATAAATAATAAATGAATAAAAGTTTAGTTCAGTTGCTCAGTTATGTCCGACTCTTTGCGACCCATGGACTGCAGCACGCCAGGCCTCCCTGTCCATCACCAACTCCCAGAGCTTACTCAAACTTGTGTGCATTGGGTCAGTGATGCCATCCAACCATCTCATCCTCTGTCATCCCTTCTCCTCCAGCCCTCAGTCTTTCCCAGCATCAGGGTCTTTTCAAATGAGTCAGTTGTTCGCATCAGGTGGCCAAACTATTGGAGTTTCAGCTTCAACATCAGTCCTTCCAATGAATATTCAGGACTGATTTCCTTTAGGATGGACTGGTTGGATCTCCTTGCAGTCCAAGGGACTCTCAAGAGCCTTCCCCAAATGAATAACAAGGATACCTTTTTAAAAATTAATTAATTAACCACACCAATGCCTCTGGAGAGGTAGCTACCCAACATAAGGCAAGCGCATATTACTGTGCTTCATAGCCTCTTGAGGATTCCATAGGACCAGAATGTTATCCCCATTTTATAAGTAAAGAAATCAAGGCTTCTTTACCCAGGGGCTCAGGCCCCAGTCCTGCATCTGCTCTGAGCAGCTGTGCAATCTTAAGTAAATCTCTGGGCCTCAATTTCCTCATCTATAACATGATGGAAGAAGCCATGACTACTAATGATCCTCTTCTGTTTTGCCCCCTGACTGTGCAGTTTCTGTAACACCTGCCAAGTGTCCCCAGTTAGAGGATATCAGGACACACCTTAATGAACAAGAAAGAAAGTCCTACTGCTTGGCCTCTTAAGATGATTAAGTATGACCCTATTATCATTTTCATATGATTAATTTGCTCAGGATGCTCTTTACAAAGACAATGCAAAGAGAAATATCAGGCTGCTCTTCACTTGCGAGTGGATGGGTAGGTGCACAGCTTTAGACGCCGGACAGCACAGTGCAACTTTCCTTCCTTCCCTGGACCAGAGGCGAGTGGCCGTCTCCAGTCGTACATCAGAATGCCACAAAGAGATATCAGCACCTGAGAGTAAGGCTTAGCTCTTGACTTCTTAGACAGCCCGGCTCTCTTATCCCCACAACAAGGCCGACCCAATCCTCACCCAACAAAAATGTTAAAAGGCTGGTTCCCTGCTCACTGCATCCTGAGGGCTGCTACCTGCAAGTCCACTTACCACACTTGTCTTTTCTCTGCTGTTCCTGGACCATGGAGATTTTCCTATAATGTTTTTCTATATGGTTTTGTTTTAACCCATTGTTCTTATCTGTTTAGAAAGGAATGGGTGAATTTGGTTGTGTGCTCATTCTGCAATCACTCTGCCACCTTGTTCAGAGGTCTTTGCTTCCTGAGACTTTCTGGCTCTGGTCCTGGCTGCCCAATGTGTCCTGTCCCAAGGTTTCTATGTCTGTGTCTGTGTCAAAGTCTACCAAAGCCAAGTACCATGGGTTTATTTGCACTAGCGAGAGGATCTCGGTTCCCTGCAGCTCTGCTCACCTCATCCCCACCCCCGGGAATACCTGCTCCACATCCTTTACCATCCTTCCAGGTTTGGTGGCAACACACCGCTTCCTTCACCTTCCTGCAGCATTCGGACAAGGACACGAACCATCAACTGCAAACTGGTGACACAGGCTGGGTTGGGACTATGACAAACGAGACGGTAAGTATCTCATCCAAAAGGAGCAGCTGCCACTCAGTTCCAGGCTGTGTTGCCAGATCTTCCCATTTATGAAGCCAGAAATTCCAATTTTTTGTGTGAAATCTCCAGATTTTTAAATATTGGCAACCTACTCAGGTTTCTTTCAAACCATTTTGCCAGGGGACCTCCCTGGCATTCCAATGGTTAAGACTCCATACTTCCAATGCAGGGGGTGCAGGTTTGATCCTTAGTCAGGGAACTAAGATTCCTCATGGCCAAAAGAAAAAAGGAAAAAAAAAAAAAAACAGTTTTCAGGGCACAAAACGGTAACCTCTAACTTGAAGAATGAAACTTTCACCCTCATGCTTAAATATCTCATTCTCCAACAGCTGTGTTAGACCCCTCCCCCCTTGCTAGACAGAGGGGTCTCTGAAAAGAAAGCGCGTTTTTCTTTCTCTCCCCACCCCGAACAAATTTGGGCAGATCCAGAGGCTCAAATAGTTTGTTGACTAGAGGCTGATATGTTGATTGAGGGGTGTGAATTCATGAGTCTCTCTGTGTTTCCAAAAACCATCTGGCACCCAGACACACGCTCTTCGGCTGCCAGCACACACTGGCAAAATAGAACCTGGGGGCCTCAAAGCACCAACCCTCTGAATTCCACACGGCTGTAGGCCACTCGGAGGTCAAAGGTCTAAATGCACATTTTATTTTTTTAAACAAGAAGGCTAACAGTTAACATCTGTTAAATTGGCCCCCAATGCATTGATTTTAATGATGCTAAGGAGCACTCAATAACCCTGCTTGAGGAAGGGGCTTTGGAGTGGGGTTGGGTACTGCAGAGTTCAAATCCTATCTCCACGTCTCATTAGTTCTGTGACTTCAGGCAAGTGATTTAACTCCCTTTGAACATCAAGTTCTTTGACTAAAAAATGGAGATATAATAACACCTACTTTGAAGAGCAGTGTGAGAGTTACATGAGATGGTGTGAGTCTAACTCATAGGAATGAATTAATATGTACACACTAATGGTGAGATATGGTGACTGCAGCCACGAAAATAAAAGATGCTTGCTCCTTGGAAGAAAAACTATGACAAACCTACACAGTGTATTAAAAAGCATAGACATCACTTTGCTGACAAAAGTCCATCTAGTCAAAGCTATGGTTTTCCCAGTAGTCATGTATGGATGTGAGAGTTGGACAATAAAGAAGGCTGAGTGCCAAAGAATTGATGTTTTTGAATTGTGGTGCTAGAGAAGACTCTTGAGGTCCCTTGGACAGCAAGGAGATCAAACCAGTCAATCCTAAAGGAAATCAACTCTGAATATCCATTGGAAGGACTGATGCTGAAGCTGAAGCTCCAATACTTTGGCCAAACCTGATGCAAAGAGCCGACTCATGGGAAAAGACCCGGATGCTGGGAAAGAGTGAGGGCAGGAGAAGAGGGTGGCAGAGGATGAGATGGTTGGATGGGCATCATCAACTCAATGGACATGAGTTTGAACAAACTCTGAGAGATAGTGGAGGACAGAGAAGCCTGGAATGCTGCAGTCCATGGGGTCGCAGAGTCACACATGACTTAGCGACTAAACGACAACAAGGGTAAGATATACCCTTATATATAGCAGTATCCTTTATAGCAGCAGTATAAATTAGTACAACCATTTTTTTTAAAGCAATATACGTCAAAGCCCTTTCTTAAATCACCTCTGACTACTTACATGAAAGAAATAATTCAAGGGGGGAATATAGCATGATCAGCACTGAGTTTTTCGATTCAGTATTATTCACAATAATAAAAATCTAGAGACAAACAGCTCAGCCATATGGAGACACTCAGTGGACTCCTACAGCCAATAAACACAATTATAAACAACATAACACAAGTAACACCACCAAGAAAAGGAAGTAGAGTACAGAACGCTTTCCACATCCCAATGACAAGGGTGTGAAATGTCTACTGTAGGCATAT